GTCAAAGAAAGTGGTGTGTTCACTGATCTTCTGCTCACTGTACTTGTACGTATCATCACAAGTCAAGTTCAGTTATAAGACAGAAGGCCTTCAGATCTTGGTTTTTGGACAATGTGAGTTCAATGCCACGATAAGGAGCATTTTTTGGATTCACGTGTCCGTTTTCAATTGTAATATTTTGTTAAATTTTAATGAACCCTGCCATTTATGACGATGAGCGGAGCTCGGAATATTGAGTACCGTCAATATGACTATTATCCCCTCGCCCACGATGGGAAAGTCTTCTTGATAGTGTCATAGGCTTAAAAATGGCACTTGCTCCTGCACTGACTTAAAGATCCGTCTGTAATCCGGTACATGTTACGCAGATTACGGTGTTTTTAGGTCATGTGGGGCAGAAAATGGGATATAAAAGTCTGTGGTACACCATTTGTGTGCTATGGGTAGTCGGGGAAAAGCAAAAGCTCTAAGGCTTTTACATACCTAGGTTAAGTACACAAGTACACTGCGCATACGCCCAGCATAGTTCTTAGACAGGTACCAAGTGTACTTGCCTGAGAAATCTCCAACCAGCACCGCTCCATTCTCCGCTAATGGCTTGTAACTGCCTGCAAGTATAAGCGCCTTGACTGTCAGTGACATATTGAAGACGAGTCGGAGAGTCGATGCTACGATTCAGCGAGATAAGGTTTTCGTTCAGAGGTTCGAGCTCAATGACATGGCACGGTCGTCAGTTGAGACCCTCTGCTGAACGCTAACGCCTTCAGGAGCGGACTGGACACTATTTAGAGTCGCTAGGTACTCACAAACCCCCGTTCACCTTGATATTGTTCCCACTGACCCATCATACAAGCCCTGGCGGTCATATCGTAGACACCACATCGTATGAGGCCTTTGCATGTCAGCCGCTTTTTCTCAAGTGCGGCCAGCTGCAGCTCAGGGCTGTCGTCATGCGTGCAGACACACCTGCAGTGGGGTTCACCGCTTCATGCTAGCACACACTTCCTTGGAGCAGTGTCGCAACGCAGAGAACGTTTTACGTGGATCAGGTGGATCCTTCTTAAACACCAAATAGATATCCTGCAAGCAGCATTAGACGTTTTTGACCTTTCTTCATCACTCCCTCGCTGTTTCGAAACGACGCGTGACCTCACGCGCCAGACCAGACACGACTGATGTAGTCTTGTTAGGAGGAAGCCCTGACCTTCTGTGTTTTCTCCTCGCTGTTCACTGCACCTTCGCCCACCATGGCAACCGTCGGGAGAGTGCCATACATTTCTTTTTTAGTTTGCTTCTCATTGTCACCATGTAGGTACACGTAGCCAGTAAGTTTCTCCTGTGGAGCAATTAACTGCTAACCTTGATTGCTTTCAGCATATGGTTTGTGACCAGATTTAGTCATCTTTTGTTTTAATCCATCAAGTTTTGTTCATAAGACAACTCATGATGCCACAAGGCATGTAACTGGACTATGTTGTTCCATACCCTTGATAATTTGTCTCATATTTGTTGAAGTGGTATTTCACATCTGCTTTAACAAAATGTTTTCTATAGTTGTCATGGTTTGTTGACTGGTAAGCGACTGTTCTGTAGATACGCTCCATATTTGTTCAATGAGGTATACCCTAGGCTGCATAGCAATTACAACATAAGGTGGACATCAGTTTAGCATATAGTCAGATCATCCCATTTGGAATTTGAAGCAAGCAGCTCAGAAATTAAGTCATAAAATATGAATAACAGAAGATAAATGGATGCCTTTGCTGCAGCTGAAAAGGCTAGCAGGAAAACTGGCTTTGCGGCCATCTATAAGTTATGTTACATTTGGAGGATCAATATTGTCTTGTGGAGCATGCCCACCATTGCCCTTGACGGAGGCTAACCATGACAACCAGAATACGTTCTTCAAAGTGATTTCAGAGACTTTGATTTGTGTGTTGTTAGCTTTGTCTGGTGTGAACAAGCTGACACAAATGAACTGAACCAAAACACAAGTTAAAACCAGCCGGAGAAAGCTGCATCATGTTTTTTTTATCACAACTGCTGCTGTCAAGAAGTAGATGATGTGAGTTGAGATGATGTTCAACATATGGGCCACTCTAAATTAGGTTAAGTTGGTTAATTTCATGAAAGGTGGCAGTAGGCATTTTACAAGAACTAGTAATTTACGAATGCTGCTGTGATACAAATAGGCTAGACAGAATGAGATGAGGCAAGGCTTCTTTAGGTTAGGCTTAGTTAGATTAAGTTTTAACCTGTGTATGATATTGTGTTCATGCCAGCTTGAAATGTTGTCTTTGTTCGTTGAAGCATATTTTACAGACTCATAAGTTCGAACTTTCATGAGTTGAATTTTTACCCCCGCACGGTGTTTTTGCGATGAAACATTTTAACTCCCACCCTAGTTTAAAAACGATTATAGCTCACTGGCCTTCGCGCCACGCTGAAGACCTCAGAGACCCTAAAGGAGATTTAGGAATGCTTCTGGGCGGTTTTGAGCGCCGTATTGGAAGCTTGGGCAGCTGAATTTGCAGCATCTGTTCATGCGTTGCACCAATGTGGAGCTTCTGACCCTGACTGTTCATGATCAATGATTTTTGTTCAAAATATTATCGGCGATATGTTAAGAAGAGGCACGTAACGCTTTTTTCAGACAAACGTATTCCAAGGAGGTTTCTGGGCCGATGTTTTCATCTACAGCACCCAAAAAGTACGTTTGTACCTTTGCGGTTGCTTTTAGAAGATTAGGGCATCCAAGGCCAATGTTGGCCAAACTTGACATGAATGACTAGATTTGTCCCTTTGAAGATCGTGCGCCATAAACCGTAATGGCCCCTATCTTACAACTTCCAAAGGTGTTCCTAACGCTGGTTCTCCTTTTCATATACCTGGTTTAGTTCTTAATATAGCTGAACCGGAAAATGGGGTGATGGCTTCATCCCTTTGATCCGGCATCACATTCTGTAGGTCACGTGTATCGATGCACCTATGTATAGACTAATCACGTGTATTTATGCATAGACTAGTGCCTATGTAGTGCACGTTTCCAAGAGCTATTCAACGCCGTCTTCCTAGTTGTGTTAGCGTACTTACTTTTGACACAACAGGAGGAACCTCAAAAGTGCTAATCTGACTAATATGACCTGACTTGACCTGTGATAGTTCACATTCACCGTTGTTCAGTCACGCCAGCACGATGCTGTTCGACGAGAGCTCTACAATGCCGTTTCTCCTTGGCTCAAGCCTGCTTTGTTTTCAAGATATCTGGGTTGGGGTTTCTGAGGGCCCGTTGTGAAGGGGATACAAACTCCCGGAAGGAGAAGTTCGGATGATTTGTTCGATAGATACCGATGGCGAGAGGGCTAGAAACCATCGGGTGAAGCCGCCAAACGATCGGCAAATGTTCCATGTGTCGCGCTGTTCAAGCCAATCAGGACTCAACAGATCTCATGCGCAGAATAGACTGTTGCGTGTAAAGGCGTGGGTGTAGTCGCAGCCTGAGACCGTGAGCGAAATTTTCCCAGGCTTGTAACTCATTCAGGGGAGAGCACGCATTGTGTTCTCGCAAACCTTATTGTAGATCAAAGCGGACCACGGTGATCATAGTTAATCCTGACGCCCAGCGGCCTCAGTCTGATGGTAGCGCGTGGGCTCCAACAAGGTGATCCATCTGGTGCCGGTCTCATTTGCACTGATGTCACAAGTTTCATGTAGTCGATATAAGATTGCTTTGAGGATTGAAACTGGGACTCGCGGGTGGGGCTTCGCGCCGCTGTCCGCGAAGGCGCGCTTCCTGCATGGTGGTGTTGGTTGCACTGTGAAGCCTGGTGAGCCGAATAAACAACCGAGCGAAGTATAAGAGAGAGGGCGGCTCGGGAGAAGGCTGGGAATTAAATTCAGGAACGAAAGGCTGTTGGTTTGGAACTGGACTGCTGATTTTCCACGATTTTCTCACAGCCAGAGTTGATAGCTGTGGTGGCGGTGGAGGAAAACGCAGCGAAGATACGTGCTTCGCCTGTAGAACTCGTGGGCACCGCAATATCTTATGTGGAGAAGTCAGTCGATCCATTGACCGCTACTGTGGTTTGAAATGACTGAAGTTGATAGCGAGTGCTGCCATATCACAACTACTGCAGAGGAAAACACTTTTTGCTGTGGGTTTCTGCAAAGTTTATCAAGCTGAAGGTGTGTTAGATCTCCGCGTAAAAACATTTCGGTCTCGCGCGCAGCGTCAACACCTGTAAAAGCGGGATTCCCACGCCGTTCCTCACTGGATCGCGCGCCTCGCAACGGGCGCCAGATTCACTGATATCAAGACACTTGAAAATTGGCAATATCCGTCTTGTGACATCACCATAAATGAAATCAGCAGCGTGATAGAAAACATCGTCAGATCTAGTCATCATATCGTCAGATCTAATCACGCCGCTGGTGTCAGTTATGCTGGTGTCACAAGACGGATATTGCCAATTTTCGAGTACCCTGATTTCAGTGAATCTGGCGTCCGTTGCGAGGCGCGATCCAGTGAGGAACGGCGTGGGAATCCCGCTTTTACTGGTGTTGATGCTGCGCACGAGACTGGAATGTTTCTGCCCTGCTGCGATATCTCCCACGTCGCACAAATGAGGCTGTCTAAATTCGCCACGCCAGGGCAGGCCTGCTGCTGATTCAGAGACCGGACGAAAACACGCGCACTCCAGTTAGGCGTGTATTGCCGCCGAGTCACTCACAAAACAAGCCAACAGCTCGAACCGCAGCTTACTGACACTGATGCTCACCGACGCCCTGAAACGGCCGCAGCTACAACCAAGGACACACCGAGTGATGCAAGGGACAGAGGACGATGGAGGGGGCGTTGGGGGCGTTGGGGGAGTGGGGGGGGGGGGGGCAGCGGGTGCCGCGGCTCCGATTGGCGGATGTGGCTGGAGAGGATCCCCAATCGGGGCCGGGGCCCCGCCGGCAGGCCCGCAGAGCGGCGCCGCAGGGCGCGGCAGGGCCAGGAGGGGCCCTCAGCGCCGGCCTGCGGGCGGGGCGCGGCCGCCGGAAGCGGCTCACTTCCGCCTTCGGCCCCACGCCTGGAACAGACCGCCGCGCATGCACTTGCAGTTGCTGCCCCAGAGGTTGCAGCGGCAGGTGCCGTAGCCGCAGCAGTCGTGAGGTCGCGCGTCGCAAGAGCTGCCGCGTCGAATGCAGGAGCGTCTGTAGACGTACACAAACGGAGAACGTCTGAACAGACAATTAGAAGGGCTTAGAGGTGGCCGGACACCGTGGACAATCAGGCTTGGTGAAGGCGCGCCTCCTCACGCGGGACCAGTGCGGCCTCAGCAGTGCTAGGCGAACACAAGAGCAAGCGCACGGATGCAGCCGTCTGTGCAGACGACAAGAGAACGAAAGCAGTGCGACAACAACAAGGCGGTCCTCTGGATGTGAATGTCGACAGAAAGACTGCTTTTTGTGACCAAAGCTTGGTATTGCTGTGATAAGTTTCTCTGATGGCCACCTATCTTTATGTTGTGCAGCGAGGGGCGTCGCCAAGGAGAGTGCCACTTGCCTTCCCCCTCCTCAAGGCAACAGGCTTGCACCATACACCGAGCGATCTCAGAGGAAGATTGTCCAAATTCACAAGACTTAGAAGACAGATTAACATTTGCCCCTCCTCCTGAGGAAAGTTTGGCCTACGTCTGTGTGCAGTCGCGTTGCGTTACCGACACAGCAAACTGCGTCCCGTCTCATCCATCGCCGCTGATGAGCTGTGTGTGAGACCTCCACCTGTTTGCGTGCCCGCGCACACTTCTCCTGTTATAGGCGGCGAGCACGCAACGTCGTCGCGCGGCTTGCGTGTGATACGGCACCGTTAGCTCAGTGTGATGTCATAACCACCCCACGCTTCCAGGTGCTTGGGTGACGTCAGCACGTATGACGTCAAGCTGAGATCACAACCCTCGACGGTGCTGCCGTGAATGCAATCAAAAGGTAGCCATTGCCATGGCGTGACGTCAGACCGGCAAATACGACGTTACGACGTCAGCATGCGAGAACAAATCACGCTTTCCCCGCTGCCTACAGTGATGGCTACCATGACGTCATTTAAGCGAACGCGACGATTGAGGCTCGGGACCGCGAGCGCGGGCTAAGGCGTTCGAGAGCCGTCCGCACGTTCGTCATGTACGTCCTCGGATAGCCTGAGCCGACCGCAGTCCGCAGTGCAGTCTGTGACGGTGTTAGCGGCGAGCTCTGGGTAGTGGTGCGGACATATAAGAGTGGCTGGCTCCTACGGGCGTGTGGACAAGTGTTGTTGAACAAATATATTGAACAGAACTGTTGAGCCTGGATCTTGTCAGATCGCTAAAGCAAGTGTGCAAGTGCAAAGCGTGATGAGCTGACGAGAGAAACGTAGCAGACAAGCGACCCATTTGTCACAAAGACAAGTCTCAAGAAACGTGTTTCAGAAGCGCGCTCAAGAAGTGGCGGCACCGTGGGTGTCGCCTACCTCAACCTACAGAACACTAGTGTCCATGACTGGCGTCCAGCAAAATGGATTCTCCACCCATCAGTTCAAGTGAACGGAAAGTGCGAACGGCAAGTGATCTAGTGCTTGTTTCCAGTCATGCTCTGCGGTACATGCAAGCGTGGAAAGCCCGGACATGTGCGAGGAAGTCTCAGTCGTCCGACACAGTGCCACACATTGTGTTATTTTCTCGATTGTTTTATCTTGTTGAGCGAATTAAGGCATTCGATTTAGAGCTTTTTTGACATGGGCTTAACGTTACCGATTTCACAGAAACGGCATGCACCAAAGACATACGTCGACCGGATCTCCAAAATGAACTGGTTTCAACTTCCGTCACTAGATGCCAGCCTCTTAACTGAAGACCCAAACGCTGCACAACCGGCTGCAGACACTGGAGTTAGAGCTCCGGCCGATGGGCGCGGACTACGAGCATGCAAGCCAGTCACAAACGTCCACCGCATCTGCGGCCGAGCAAAATGCCAGGCGACAAGAGTTTGGGTTTTTGTCGACAATTGTCAATTTTGTCAACAATTGTCAACACCATGACTGGAAGTGTGGGTGTGTGACAGTCCAGCGAGTTCACGCGCAGGAAAATGAGATCCGTGGCCGAGACGCCTCTCGTAAAAGCAACATGATCCCTGTCCTGTGATAATGTATGGGCGTTTTGCACGAGATCTTAGGCCACCCTTTTATATCGCGTACAGTGCGTGAAAGGGATTGGGGCAACCACGAAAGGTTTCGAATTATATTTGTGATTAAACGAGCATTTAAACGAGCATAGAATTATTATACTAACGATAATTTCTTCGCACAACAAAGTATCAACATCTGACACAATGACACTTTGTATTGTGTTGTCTTTCGTTCATCACGTAGGAACTACAACGTTATAAGAACAAAACGCTGTCATCATGAACAAACCATCTAGCGGTGCTCACCTCCTGTAGAGTCCACGTTAAGGTCAACATTTGCATAAATCTTACGGCTTATAGGAAGATTATGTTAAACATCACAGACACGAGTCAGAAGAGCATAACCATATATTTTACCCGGACAACAAACTAAGAGCTGTCCAGTCATGTTTTGTTTGTCCAACTGCATTGGAAAGAAAAGCAACGTGTTTTGCGGAGAATGATTAAGAAATTTAGCGATAAACATGCATGATTCAAGTAACGACACAGAGCTTTGTCATTTTGTACCACAATTTCTATCAAACCTGTGTGTGTGTGTGTGTGGGACTGGAGACATAGCTCCCTTTCCCAAAAAATCTTTAAAATCCACGCGACGCCTTTGCTGTTCCATGAAACGAATGAACCTAAAATGTCCCCCACCCGCTCTAACCACCCTTTTCCTATACCTTCAGCCGATGATGCTGCACATGTACGGGTGGATTGTCAGTGACGGGCAGCTGGCCATCGTCCAATAATCACCAACGACTGTGGAAAAAGACACTGGTATTGTGCTACATGAGGGTGGTAATATGTTGCACACACAGTTACTTACTTCTGTCCCGATTTTCTCAGTAGGTTGGCAAGGAGGTTAGAATATTCATCCATTTCCAGAGGCACCTCCTGTTCGCCACCACCTCCTGAAAAATTGACCCAACTTTAGTGTCAGAACAAGGAGGGCTGACTTTCTGTGAAGGACCCGCATCGCGGCGGGATAGGCTGCGAAGGTTTGGCACTGCATTCAGTACCTCCACTGAGCAGACCCAGACAGCAGGCTCAGACGTCGCGCCAGCCGACTTTGCCTTTGCAGCGAATTAATGGATCCCGGGATTTATCGATTGTAACTTGGGTCACGAAGACCATTTATTTCTGGCTATTCCATAATGCCAAAGCAATTTCGCTGTTTATGCAGTGCAGGCCAGAACCCAGCGAGCAGTTCATACAACACTCACGCATTGATTTACCACAATGACTTTGGTTGACCTTTTATTCGCGTGAGGCCGGTCCATCGTCACCCAAAATACGGCCAATACGGTCATGCCCCACTGCGGCCAGGGAGAGTTTCCATTCAACGGCAGCGAAGCATTGTTTTGAAGACACGTGCGTGTTTTGGAAAGGCGTCTCCAAGCGAAAAGTTTCCGGGGCTTAGAAATTGCGTGCAGGTGGTCGCGCGGTCGTTTGGCCTAAAACAGTTTGCTATCAAACTTTAGGGGCTCATCACCAAGTTGGCCCCGTGCCTGGTATTTTGAGAGTGCTCTTGTTTCCCCCATCACGACATTTCCATCAATGAAACGGCGCGGCCGGGTCTCATCACTTAATTGGAAAAACGATGAACGCGGAAGCACTGCCTTAAAACTGCAAGTTCGCATTGGCAAAACTACATCTATGCGTGTCTAAAAGGCACCACGGTTTGGTGGTTTATAACTTTTACGAGCACCTTCAAATGCAGTCTTTGCATGAACGTATTACGACTTGTGATGCAAGACATCAAACTGAACATCACCCCATCCCTGTAAAAGGATTGTGGTCCAGGTACTGAGATTTATAGAATGACAACACAAAAAAATGTATAACAGTGGGAAGTTTTCTTTTAGGGGACAGTGGAGAGTGGGCGTAAAAGTGAGTATAACACAGGGGACCGCACAAATTCTGCGGACAAAGTCAGCCTCGGATCGAATGCGGCTTAAAACCAATGCAAAGCAGGTCATCAGCATCACACAGCCGCCGACAATGATGGGCGCGGGCGAGCCGCATCCCACCGAGCCACGGCCCAGAGCACGGTCGGCCGCGCTCATTCGCAGCTGCCATTCTGCAGGGCGTCTGTGAGCGAGCGTGTGACCGGTCCCGGCGTCTCCGCGGCCGGCCGGCCGCCTGGGAGCTCTTCGCGGCGCCGACAGGGCTCGAGCGCTGGCAGCGGGAGCCAGCCGCCGCCAGCCGGCCGGCCCACCAGCGCCCAGACCGGGTGTTGGCAGCCGGAGCCAGCCGCCGCCAGCCGGCCGGCCCGCCAGCGCCCAGACCGAGCGTTGGCAGCCGGAGCCAGCCGCCGCCGGCCGGCCTGCCCGCCAGCGCCCAGACCGAGCGTTGGCAGCGGGAGCCAGCCGCCGCCAGCCGGCCGGCCCGCCAGCGCCCAGACCGAGCGTTGGCAGCCGGAGCCAGCCGCCGCCGGCCGGCCTGCCCGCCAGCGCCCAGACCGAGTGATGGCAGCCGCAGCCAGCCGCCGCCGGCCGGCCTGCCCGCCAGCGCCCAGACCGAGTGTTGGCAGCCGCAGCCAGCCGCCGCCGGCCGGCCTGCCCGCCAGCGCCCAGACCGAGTGATGGCCAGACCGGACCGGCATTGACGCCCGGCCGCTAGGCGTCGCATGCCAATGAGCGCCAAGTGCCGGCTACTTAGAGTAAGTCGCAGTGGCCAGTTTCTAATTCATGAGGGCGTGCGACCCTTAATGGTAGTCGTTAAGACCTGTGACCCGCAGTCGTTCTGGCGGAGTGTATAGCCGACGTTTGGGCGACAGCGCACATTAGTTCAGAATATGGGCCGCCTTTTGGCCATGAAGAGGGCACCAGCAACCTTCGCCAGGAAGTCTGTGCTTTTATCGGTTCAAAATGACCAAAGAACGAACATAATTCCTTTTAAAAAGTAATGGGCTTGAATAGAGACGCCTAAACGAGCAATGTCATGTGCGTTTCAGCCGATTTTACACAACTTTATAATGGTCAAGGTGTCTTGCTCGCAAACAGGCCGGCAGTCATAGAAAACTGCGAGATAATGAAGACCATATAGATCGGTGGCTGCAGAAAAGAACTGACGAGCGAGCATTTTGAAAAGCCCTCAAAACTTCTCCAACCAGAGCAGCGTTCTGCGGTTATCTTGATGAATGGTGTATTCTGTGAGGCCTTCTATCGATTTACTCTCCAACCGAAGATTATTTTTCACATTCGATTAAACCCCAAACAGATGATCAGAAATGAGCTTGTGAGCCTATGTACCCGCATGGTTTACTGAGCTCGATGATTTCCTTGTTGGAAATCAAATCATCAGATCTTATTGGAAAAAAAAATGAAAAGCTAAAGCAAGAACATAAAGAGTAGTGCATGAAGTCAGATATTGTACTGCTCTAAAGTCAGCCCCAGTGTGTTATGTTAATTAGCTGTATGTTCATAAGCACCTGTCCTGATAGACGAATATGTCGTCGCAGGACGTTGGAGGACGTTAGAGGACTTCGCCGCAGAAGAAGGTCATACCGAAATTCTTCGGGCGAGAATGCATGCTGCGTGATATAGTTATCCGCCAGTCGCTGGCGTGCAGTTGTTCAGAGCAGCCACCTATGGCTAAAGAAGTGACTTCTCTGTCATTGACGAAATTTGGAACCCTCTGAATTGTCACCCGGAGAAAGGTCTTTCAGAAAGCGTTGCAATGTGTCTCTAAATCCAATGAACCACAAAGACAAAGACAAATTAAATGCATTGCGGCATAACCATCAAACATTTTCGTTTCGGGAGTTCGTTTGCACAAAGTTTCATTTGCTGGCCATCAAACACTGAATGAAGGTTGAGACTAACCTAAAAGAATTATCAGATAAAGCCATACTTACATAACCAGCCTAAAGGCGTATAGTTTCCTATTCAGGGGGGGGGGGAGGAGGCGGAATTGTGCCTCCAAACCAGGGATGTTGTTTCCTATTTTCAGTTATCATTCTTATCCATTATGTTTCATTTATCATAATTTGGGGTTTCAGCTCCCAAAACTTTTTTAAGACTACACCCTGCTGCAAGCAACGAAAAATTGCGTCAAGTCTGAGGGGAAACTGTTTTAAGCGTATTTTGGAGACAGGTTCAGCCATATTCTTCCTATCTCTCTCTTCCCTTTTCATCCCTCAGCCCTGCGCATTTTGCAAAACTGTACCCCTATGACCCCACGGTATCAACAGATGTAAACGACATTTTGAGCATCTCTGGCACCTTGCTCTAGCTTTATATGCAATATGATGACAGCCAAAAGCATTTTATTTCATGCCTGTCCACCGATCAGTGCGCTAAGTCTGAGATGCAACAGGCAATCTGAGAGGCCCAAACCAGCCATGTTCGGTCTCCTACTTCAAAGCCGCCGTTCCTTTCAGTAGCAGGAAGCCCCGGATGAATCCTTGACGTGTGTCGCTCCAACGAGCTCCGTTCACCTCTAAAGCTACAGCTCAGGCATCCAAAACAACAACTCTAGATAGGCAGGGCATCTTAGCGCTATCACATTAAAAAAACTGACGATTAGCAACGTCCTTCTAGCCAGTCAGCTTCTCACCACATGAATACAACCAACGGCAGTCCAAAGCCTTGCAATGTGGCTAACGCATTACCGCGTGGCGAGCAACCGAGCCAATCTCCCTCGAATCGCACGGCGCTTTAATACGCTGCGTAGCGAGCTGATCACGTTCGTCCTAAGATGCTGTGGCCAGCCACGATTTCAACGATTAGTAACAGCATGGTTATTTGGTATTCTACACTGTTTAGTATGTGAAGTAAATCTTGGCTGATAAAAATCTTCGAAAAGCATTGATCTGAGTGATATTGGAAAAGCACTGGGTCACCACTGATCTGTGACATCAGCACTGGTATAATATGGTTTATAGTGTGTTTCTGTCACTTGCTAAAACTATCATGATTCAAGCTAATATGTTTGGCAGCATCTTATGGCTGAACCTGCTCATACAACGAAATGTCAACGTTTCGACATGAGCTCACGCTGCAAGCGTTAACGAGCACAGACCAATACTAAGCTTTGAGCTTCGTTGAGCCGGGATAGTCTGTTGTATCATGGTCTAGGGTGTTGGAATTTGTTTCCATTTTCCCAATTTTGTCACTAATTGGCTCGCAAAAGTGTGTTTTTTTTGTCGCCGATCATGTCCGGCAAATCAGAAGCTTTTTCACGCCGGCAGCCACCGGTGCCCAACGCTTTTTGCAAACTGCCCTCAATATCTCGAGGTCTGCTCGATGCATTAGAAAGCAACTAATAACGAAATATGCTTGGTTAGTTTCGCTGAATGACAGCGCCGGATATCACTGATACGAGGACAGAGGCACGAGGCGTAAATATCAAAGTAAGTGTGCCCTAATAGCCATCATCTAATTGAACATATCGTGTGGAGGCTTACGGACCTTTACAACTCTTTAAAACAAGACCCTGAAGTTTGTCCGTCTTTTGCTTGGTATTGCCAGAAGCAAAGAATCTACCTTTCGAGGCCCAGAAACGTCATTCAAACCCTCCCTTGGCTGGTTGGCTGAACGCTTGCATGGAGATGTAGGTGATAGACCCAGTATATTATTTAGTTTGTCACTTATTTGTATTTTACTTTTTTCTGGACAACATTATCACAGCAAATGAACTACCAGACGTTTCTTCATCAAATGTGTCACACCTTTCACTCGATATCCAGCCTTCAAAAATATTCGCATCGACTGGTCACACACATTCAATTGGAAGTGATAAACATCTTTTGCCGTAAAAAGAAGTTGATAGACGAATACTTTGACGTGTTATTTGGTGGAGATAGACCGACAAATAAGTTGATAGACGAATACTTTGACGTGTTATTTGGTGGAGAAATAAAGAGGACAAGGAAATTCTTAAGAATTGGGTATTGTGTCAAACGGTT